GCCAATCTAGACATGCTTTTCCGCAAAAAAGCCCCGATTGCTATTTTCACGATCAGGGCTTTTTTGTGGAAAACAAATATCTGCTGTCTACACTGGCCCTTTTGCGCAAAAGTTTTTCGGAAAAAGACTTTTGCCTGAACGGGAGCAGCACAGTATTTCCGCAAAAGCACTTACAATCTTACATGAGATCGTCAGTGCTTTTGCAGAAATTCAAGCGGCCAGTGGCCAGTCTAGACACAGCCACGGTGGTTTGAGCACTCACCCAGGCCAAATGGTCCCTAGGGACACTTCTGGGACCAATCCATTACTTCCCACAGTGGTCACCCTGATTCACTATCTCCCAGGGACAGCTCTGCACCCAGTATGCAGGAGACAGATTCAAATTCTCCTTCACTTGATGTACAGTGGGGACCTGAACCCAGGTTTTCCACCTTCTAGGAGTGTTCCATCCACATGAGATTATGAGGGACTCAGATGTGCATCTCTCTTAATAGCTCCTGTTGAAGCTGCTCAATGCGGTATAAATAATAAATATTCATTGGCAAAGGATGAGGGTGAGTGTGTGGGAGGAGGAGCGAGAGAAAGGCTGACTCTATAGCCTGGTGGTGAGAGCACTCAGACCCGGGTAACATTCTCAGCTGCACTAAATAAGTATTTATTTCCACAATGTGGCACAGGTTTCCACCCCAGTCTCCTACTCCAACCAGCCCTAATTTCCTTTGATGATTCTTTGTCCAACTGCTCCCCCCTCCACTGTCTGCAATTATAGTCTCTCCAGGTTTCATATCCCATCTCAGTACACTTTTCCCATCTCTTGGCCTCCGTTTTCTTCTTCCCTGGCTCCTTGTGTCAGCTCATTCCCTGCACTCCAATTCCTTGTCATATTAGTCTTCCCTATCACCCATTCCTGTCCCCTGCCTCCTTTTGCTGCTTACTCATCCCAGTCTCCTTCCCTCCCACAGCTCCTCATCTCATCTAAGAGTTTTCCTGACAGCCAAGTAGGTCCTAGTTCCTCTTGCCATTTCCCTCATTGGCTCCTAGTCCCAGGCACCTTGTTCCACCAGTTTCACCAGAACTTTCTTCCAGCTCCCACTCACAGCCTCTCTCCCCATAGCTCTTGGTTCCCAGTCAATCCCTCCACTTCAGTTCACAGACTTCTTGTCCAGGCTACTGCTTTCCCCCATACTTTTGTCCCCTCTGTATTTGTATCAGACTCTATCATATTCCACTTTACCTGGGTGCTGAGGAGCAGGGCGATGCAGGGAGGTCATTGAGAGCACATTAGAAACAGGTTCCCTTCTCTTTCTTCCAGTGGTTGGCTCTAGCCTGTCTCATAGCAGCTGGAAGCAGCCATTAGAGAGAAAGTCTGTCTTTGCCCCTATGGCTCCAGGCTAGAGCATGCTCAAGTGTTCTGCAGAGATGGTGTGTTTAGACTCTGGTCACATGTAGCAGGTGTGGGGGATAGACATATTAAATCACTCTCTGGGGACGATGCCTAAACAGCCTGGTTAATACCAGGAGCTGATAGAGGCTTGAGCATACTCAGTAAATATGAACTCTTCAAAACTGAAAAAAAAAATCTCCATCGGGTATGTGCAACATGCAATTTTCAGAGGTTTATAAACTGGTGAAATTTGCAGGGGACACTGCAAGGCACATGTCTGACAAAAAAGCCACCCTCCTAGCACATGTGAAGTCCCTGCTCCACTAGAAGATAATAAAAGAAAAGGTCACTAGAATTTTTTAACATGAGGGAAACACTGTATTTTCCCCAGACTGGTTCTCTAAAAAGTTTCAGCATTTTGTCTGAAAAGTAATATACCAGCTTAGGGCAAACAACTGCCATGTAAACTTGGCAGACTGAATGGTTAAAGACTGACAAAGTTATTAGCAACTAAAAACAAATTCTTCTAACTGGTAGTATTGGACAACACAGACAGGACTAGCCATAGTTATAGTCTCACACACACACACACACACACACACACACACACACACACACACACACACACACACACACACACACACACACTATCTATACTTCTTTGAGATACACTCAGTTGAAAGAGCAAATACATTTTCTTACAATTTTCCCTTTAATTAGCTGATCTAAATTGAGACACTACTTTATGCTCATAGCATAATAATTTGCTAACACATTAATTATCATTTAAGGATGTATGATCCTCCTATCTCACTTGTGCATTTGGGGAACCTAGTGAATGAGAAGATATGTGCATTATCTTATTGCCTGCCATGCTAAGTGCTTAGCAAAGTCAACAGAGACAGTAATCAGAACAAAGAAAAGGGATTTGCATTGAATTACACTGAAAGCATAGTTAGATTTACAATCTAAATTTGCCTGAAAAGTAAATACTTAGATTTGAATTAAAATAGTCTGAAAAGAATGTTTTCAGCTTTAAAATAGGAATCTGTCCAAGAAAAAAATCTAATTTTGCAAATTCAGACAACTTGTTATAAAGAAGTCATTGTAGTCTAATTCAGGACCAATGGATAAGTTATGAAACATAGGCAGATAACTATTAGAATAGCAGAAAATTTGTGTTAACACTTGACTTGTGGCAATGAAATGTTGGTGTACGCTAGTGTTGGATACTGTATGAATAGTTGTGGATTTGATTAAATACAATGTGTGTGAGCATGAACAAGTCATGCATGCTGCTATGTTAGTTTGCTGACATATTGTTTGCTAAGAAAGGCAAACTCTGGATTCTTGCCCTATGAATGACTTCCTAAAATATTTATCGTGTTTTTAAATTATTCATACTGTTGTGTATTAGAAAGGGCACTATATGAATTTATGAGTACAACTGGGACATGTTTGCACTTATGGAGTTTGGGGCAAATGTTAATACTGTGCAACTAGAAATGAATCCCGTAAGGTAACCTGCAGGGCCAACAGCCACTGTGGGCCTCGGTGCAAGGTGTGTGTGTGTGTGAGTGTGTGTGTGTGTGTGTGTGGAGGGGGGGCCAGGACACAGGCGGAAGGGGTAGGGCCAAGGTAGCCAACCCTCAGAACTACCAGGGCTGCGGTGATGGGCTCCCCCTCAGAGCCATGTGGAGCAGAGCTCCAATGGCAATTTAAAGGGGCCTCGGGCAGTTGTGGTGGCTAGGAGCTCTGGGCTCCCATTAACTGTAGCTGGAGTTGTGGGTATTAAGTACACAACTACTCAGTGGGAGGGGAGACAGGATGATGCTGAGAGAGGAGAGGGTAAGGGCATTGGGGGCTAGAGGGAGGAGGGGAAGGGGAGGTGCTTGGAGAAGGCTTGAAAGAAGGGGAGGGCTCGAGGAAGGTGGGTGGGCAGGAGGGGATGTGGGGGTGGGGGGGAGCAGGAGGACTAGACCCATTCTGGGCACCACCGAAAATTATACAAACCTGCTGCCCCTGACCTTGGAAGAACATTCATATCACCTGGAGTCAGGTGGAAAAACAGGGAAGGGTACTAGACATACGCTGGTCTCGTTATTCTACCACATGCCATAAACATGGGGTAAGATTGAGACCTGGTCCAACTGCATTGCTTTCCTGAGTTCATCATCTTTCATGTGCAGCATCAGACTCCCACAAAACTTTCCCACAGGCCACGATTTGGCCATCCATGATGTGGTAAGATGTCTTCTCACTCTGTAATTAAACATCTGCTCTTAACAAATAATTAAATGTCCATCAAAACTACATAAAAAACCTAAAGCTAACAGCCTTTACTTAAAGTGAGACTAAATTTCTAGATGCACTGTTTAATTCCAGGGTTGAGCATTTCTCGCTGGACTGTGCAAGCTGCTAGCTGTCACAAGCAGTGCATAGAAGCAAGCATACCAAGTTTCTTTGTGATGACAAGCTGCAACAGGCCTTCTTGGTAACATCTTTAGTCTGACAGCATAACAGGGTTTCTGGAGGAGATAGGTAGATATTCTTTGTCGTTAAAATCTCTGTGTTGGACTCCTTTGCCGAGCCAAACATGTCTGGGGATGGACAGTTTGTCTGGTATTACAAGTTATTTGCTATAGTGGAAGTCGACTAACAGTGATACAGTGTCTGACTTCTTTTTATTCGGTGTCTTCATAGAATGCTTAGTGTTTCAGTCACATTTTAAAATGATTCTGGAAACCTTGCAAAGCAATGAGTTTTTTGTTGTTGTCGCTGCTGTTTGAGAGTTTGTGCAACATTTTGTTTCTCTTAGTTTCATGTTTGCTATATGTCCAGGAGAGAGAAGCATCTGACATAGCAAACAAATACTGCAGTCTTACAGACTGTTTAAAAAACAAAGACATTCATGAACACACATAGTCCACAAAAGTTCAGATGCAACTTCTCTTTTCTGAGTAGGTTCTCTTTTTACTTACTTGCTTCTAACACTAAACAGACAAATGAGAATGCAAAGAAATTTACTCTCATTTTATTCAGACCATGAGTCAATGGTATAGTCCTGATTCATTTCCAACATAAAACTTTCAGTTATTTTCTCTAATCATGAATCTCTTCCCTTTCATAAAAGATCTTACATCCGTACAGTGAAACACATGTTTATGTGCTTTGCTGGATCAGCATCAAAATAGACAGCATATATTTTGGGGAAACTATTTTAAATATGGTAGGAATTTGACATATTTATAATCTGTATTTTATAGAATTTAAATCTTCATTGAATAGTTTATTGCATATGATCATGTGGGGAAAAAAGCTGTTGAAAGTGCATATGGTTCACAACTTACTTTAAATTGTACAATCACTCATAAAAGAATAGAGACTTCCCAGAAGATCAGCGCACCACATCCATTGTTCCTAATTGAAGCATCCATGACCATATATGTCATTTGAATATCCAGTTCCATCCCTCAATACTGATATTTTCACACGGAGCTACTCAGTCCAGGCCTTGCTTCCCAGATTCGGTCTACTTACAACTATAACTTAAAATGCTATACAACACTATATAATTTATATGAACACTATATTTTAAAAATTATGTTTACCTCAGAGAATACTACATCACTATGGTGAAGTGGGTAAACAACACCAAGACTGTGGTGAGATGGTTGAACAGACCACAGAACATTTCCATTCTTACTGTTTGTGAGACCACAACTGGGGCTTGTAGCAAGGTAAGTCAGATTTCCTTGTTTCTTTCTTTTCTATATTATATTCCTGATATTTATCCTAGGACCAAAAAAAAGGTTGCTCAGAATTCAGTCTTTGGAATGTCTTTTGATGCAGTAATTATTAACTGAATACAATTAGATAACATGGAGATAAGGGAAATGATAGAATTCCAATCTTTATGTTGAAATGATTTAATGCAATCAAGAGACCTAATTTTCAGAGTTCCTATGCTGTGTTCATTATTTAACTTTAGTTGATCAGCACCTCTGAAAATCAGGAGTTTTACAAGTAGCTAATACCGAGACGAAAGTTATCCTTTCAGGTATTCTCAGCTCTCCAGTCCCTGTTCTTTTTCTTCACTTAATTCCACTCCAGACCTTAGTATTTTAAAGGTTTGAATGGATTTAAAGAAACAATGCAGAATAGACCCTGGAGACACATCTTACATAACCAATATATTTTACAGTTAAGGTAACACTGTTTCTTATTGTAACAAACTTCAGAGGAGTAACAGTGTTAGTCCGTTTCAGCAAAAACAAGGTGTCTGTGTGTAAAGCATCTTAAAGACGAACAAATTAATTTGGGTATAGGCTTTCATGGGCTGAAATCCATTTCATGCATCTCACAAGGTGGGTTCCATCGATGAAAGTGTATGCCAAAAACAATTTGTTAGTCTTAAAAATGACACAGGACACCACCTTTTTATTGAAATTATATTTCTATGGAGCTGGAGAAGCTTCCTTGCACTTCAAAGGGGATTGCATCCGATGAATGTCAAGGAGCCATAAAGGTGTGTGAAAGGCAGTTAAAGTTCATAACATTTAGTTAGTGGAGAAGATAATTTTTGTTTCCAAATTTCCTCCAGGTACAAGCAGCCATTCCTAAAATGTGATGTTTCCGCAGGAGCCCAGTTTTGAAATTATATTTCACCATTTATTTTCACCTACAATTTAGCCATAATAACACAGCTCTGAAAAGAAAAAGAAAAGAATATTGTGTGTTGCACTAACTGCTCTGTAGCACCTCTCAGAAACATTTATTTCATTTATATTGATTGCTGTCATAACTGTGCATCTCAAACATATAAAAGATTCAGTCTGCACCTATCATGTCCCTGGGTACCTATTTCAGTCCCACACGTGCAATCCTTTCAGTATCCACACCTTCTCTTTTCCTTTGGGTGAAACCCCACAATTCAGTCGCTCACTGAATGGTTACCAGTCCAGAGCCTGTGGGCAATAATAAAATATAGTGACACACAAGCAGCTTCTTCTTAAAAGTAGGATTTATTTGGCAAAAGATTCACAGCACTGAGAGAAGTGGATTTAAAACAACAAAAAGACTCATGCACTTAATGTATTAGGCTTTGTCTACATGGCAATTGAGCAACAAAGCTTTTGTCATTCACAGATGCTTAAAAACTGAATGAAAAAAGCTTTGCCATAGCAAGGGCTAGTGTAAACAGTGCTTTGTTGGCAGGAGTGCTCTCCTGGCAACAAAGCAAATGTCACTTATGGGGGTGGACCTTTTTTGTCTGCAAAAGTGCCAACAAACAGCTTTTACACTGCCTAACTTTTAATATCATGGCCATATTGCTAAAACCTACGTAGTGTAAACCGCTGGTTTTCAAAATTGGGTCATGGGTCCGCAATACTTTGTTCATCTAAGAAAATGTCTGTTGCCATAGAGCCTCGCAGCTCCCATTGGCTGGAAACAGCAAACCATGGCCAATGGCAGCTGTGAGACTTCACGGCTATGGACACTTAGATAAACAAAGCGTAGCAGGTCCACCAGCAGCTGATCCAGGCAGGCCCGAGACCCAACTTTGGAAACCAATGGAGTAGACTAAACCTTTCTTACACTTAGCAGTTTAGGACAGAGCAATGTTTCTCAAAGTGATGTGCAAAACCACTTAAGAGAAACCTGCTAACTGGCTGCTCCAGTGTGTTTGTTTATCAGCTCCGCAGCCACAGAGACTTGCAACTCCCATTGACTCCAGTTCGCCATTTGCAGCCAATGGAGCCGTGGCCATAGAGTTGGTAAATAAACACACTGGAACGGCCATGCAGGTTTCTCTAAGTGGTTTCACAGGCCACTTTGAGAAACACTGAGATAGGGGCTTAGGCAACCATGATACCATTTTATCTTTGTCATTGTTTTGTTCCTCTTGGTTTCCCCTCTCATAATCTCCTTTTGCTCTACCTCCTTTTCAAGTAACCCACATAACCAATCACAGAGCTGTGCACAATATTCATAAACAATAACACAGATATTTCTTATTTTGTCACAGCTCCCATTAGGTGGAGGAAAAGTTCAGTCATTGACTTCATGTCTTTATATTTTAAATGAAAAATTGTGAGCGCAAGAATATTTTACAGCATATAGTTTAATGCTAATGGCTGCACAACATTTGTAAACATCTCAAGAGTTTATCAATATTTGTTTGCAATTCCAAAATGATGTATGCAAAAACAAATTATTAAGCCATGATAGCCACTTGAATTCCAGTTGATTGGACCATATTTCTAAGAGTTGGCCCTCACTTGGTGTCATTTGTCATAACTTCAATAGAACTATGACATTCATATCAGCAGCAAATCTGTTCTGTATTATTTTACCAGTAGATATATAGAGTGTGTGATTATGTGGTATGGTGGAGAGGTAATGGCCCTATATGAAGCATGATATTGTAGATACTAAGATTTTGATGTATTCATTAAACTATAACCTATGAAACTAAACTATGACCTATGAAAACCATGTTCACATGAAATAAATGACAGAAATTTAGTGATAGCTGCATAGGTCATATACATTTCCAGTTTTCAGTTGATGCCTAGGGTAAAAAAGAAATACTACTGTCTGTTCAAAGCTTCATGATGATATCTAATAAGAAGTGTTTTAAAAGATCTTTTGTTCCTAGTTACCCTGGAAATTCAGAAAGGTAGCTGCATTTATGATTAAATGATCATCTGTTAACTTTAAACATTCATACGTATTTAGGGATGATGTCAATGGAAAGACTAAAGCTCTGTAACATAGACACAAACATTAAATATAACGAGTCTTTTTGATTAATGTAAGATTTTTTTGGTCTCTAAATATTTTATAAACAATTCTTCTCTTTTAGAAATATGAGATTACATCAGAAGTGTGGCTTTCTAAACAGGTATTGTATGAATGATGTCTGAAATGCATAATGGATAGCTGTTTGCATTGTTACTTTTAGCTTGATTATTTTCTTTAACAAAATAGAAAATGTAAAATTAAATTTTGTTAAAATACACCCCCATATTAATTTAACATCAGAAAAATGACTGTAAAAATTCGATGTAGCATACATGTTCTTCCAAAGTAGATCTGACCTCTGAGCTCATTGAGTAAGATCTGCTGACTTTTCAGATAAAAATGTTTTTAGTTATTCTTTTCTCCTGTTTGAAATTGATGCAAAGGAGTAGAAGGGAGCAAGACTGTGCAGAGCTCCAGAGGAATGCTTGAGAATAATATAACAAAGTTCAAGCACATGAACTATAGATAGAACAAAAATATCAGAAAATGTTTCAACTCTCACAGAATCAAATAAAAATATCCAACAGATTGCAAAAGTGGATGAAACATATTTATTTAAAACACATTTCAGGTTCCATTTTGTAAGCTGTGTGTAAAAAATCATTACAAATTATGATTTTATGGTAGACAGTGTCCCTTTAACAGTTCCATATGGTGTTGGATTAGGAGACGCATAACAAGCAAAGTATCAGAGGGGTAGCCGGGTTAGTCTGGATATGCAAAAGTGACAAGGAGTCATGTGGCACCTTATGGGCTAACAGAAGTATTGGAGCATAAACTTTCATGGGCAAAGACCCACTTACTACTTGCTTCTGACGAAGCGGGTCTTTGCACTCAAAAGCTTATGCTCCAATAATTCTGTTAGTCTATAAGGTGCCACAGGACTCCTTGTCGCTATAACAAGCAAAGTTACTTACACAGTTCAATAGTAATGACAGTGCATGGATTCATCAAGGCAATTACATAGAATCATAGAATACTAGAACTGGAAGGGATCTCGAGGGAGCATCAAAATCCATTCACAGCAGGACCAAGCACTGTCTAGATCATGCCTGACAGATGTCTATCCAACCTTCTTTTAAATATCTCCAGTGATGGAGATTCTACAACCTCCATAGACAATTTATTCCATTATTAAACCACTCCGACAGTTAGGAAGTTTTTCCTAATGACCAATCTAAACCTGACTTGCTGCAGTTTAAGCCCATTGCTTCTTATCCTATCCTCAGAGGCCAAGGAGAACAATTCCCCCCCCCCCCCACCCACACACCCCCTCCTTCTTTTAATACCCTTTTAGACACTTGAAAGCTGCTATCATGTCCCCTCACTCTTCTCTTTTCTAAACTAAACAAAGCCCAATTCTTTCAGTCTTCCCATAGATCATGTTTTCTAGACCTTTAATCATTTTTGTTGCTCTCTTCTGGATGCTCTCCAATTTCTCCACATCTCTCTTGAAATGTGGTGACCAGAACTGAACACAATACCTCAACTGAGGCCTAATCAGTGCAGAGTAGAAAGGAAGAATGACTTCTCGTCTCTTGCTCCCAACAGTCCTGTTAATGCAGCCCAGAATCATGTTTGCTTTTTTTGCCACAGTGCCACATTGCTGATTCATATTTAGCTTGTGGTCCATTGTGAAACGTTGATCCCTTTCTGCAGTATTCTTTCTTAGATCATCGCTTCCCATTTTGTACGTATGAAACTGATTGTTCCTTGCTAAATGGAGCACTTCGCATTTTTTCTTATTAAACATCATCTGTTTACTTCAGACCGTTTCTTTAGTTTGTCCAGATCATTTTGAATTATGACCCTATCCTCCAAAGCACTTGCATCCCCTCCCAGCTTGGTATCATCTGCAGACTTAACAAGAGTACTGTCTAAGCCAGGGATTGGCAACCTATGGCTCGCAAGCCAAATATGGCTCTCTAGGGAGCCAGATGTGGCTCTTCTGGAGCCTCAGCTCAGCCCCTGCTTTCTAACCCCACAGCAGGGAGCCCACGCTGGTACTACAGCCTTATGGCTCCCGCTAGACTCGAACACTAGTGCAGATTCTTGCAGGGAGGGGTGGGGAGAGAAAGCCCTGAGGCTCTTCACAGGATCTGGCATGCAGGGAATAAACAGAGCTAAACATGGCTCAGTGTGACAGCATTTTCCTCCCCTCTCCCCCCGACAAGGGGGAAACCAGGAACCAAAGATGACTCCCTGTGTATTGACATTTCTTTCCCTCGGGACACACTTCCTTCAGCCTCTCCTGCCAACTCTTCCCAGAGGCTTCTGGGAAATGAGAGCAGGGGGAAGTGTGTTACACAATGCCTACCACACAGCATGAAAACAAGTAAGTACCTCCAACGCCATGCCCATATCTTCACACACACACACGGCCAGACAACCTGCCCTCAGCCCCCTGGCCAGACACCCCCTGCTCCTAGCTAGATACCCTTGCCCCCAGCCTGCTGGCCAGAATCTTCTGCCTCCGGCCAGACACCCCCTGCCCTCTGATCCACATCCCCTCCAACCCCAGCTAAAATCCCCCCATCCACTAGCCAGTCAGTGTCCCACTGCCCCAAATCCCCGATGCCCCCAGCTCCCTGGCCAAGATTCCCCCAGTCCCCTGGCCAAAATCCCCCCAGCCCTCTGCTCCTTGGCCAGACAACCCTGTCCCCAGGCCAGACTCCCCTTGCCTCCAGCTCTCTGGCCAACATTCCCCCTGCCCAAAATCCCCTCTGCCCCCTGGCCAGACACCACCTAGCCAGGCATCCAGCTCCTAGTCCTCTCCTGCCCCCTGTCCAAGCAGCTTTCCCCCTGGCCAGACATTGCACCCTTACCCCCTCTTACAGCCCACATCCTGCTCAGATCCTGCACTCTGTCCCACAGACTAAATGCCTCATTTTTGGCCCCAACCTGGAGGGTAGTGGGGTCCACACAACCTTAGAACCACAGAAGAGTAAATCTGGACTGAGGCCCTTTAATTTTTGTTTGTTTGTTTGTTTGTTGCTTCTCACTTGTATGGTCCCTGACTGATTTTTCTGTGGGTCAGTGGCCCCTGATCCAAAAAAGGTTCCCCACTCCTGCCATAAATCAAGACATGTTGAAACCTTTTAGGTTGGACATAATATTTTACTTTATTTAAAAATGAAGCCCCCAATTTTGGGCCCAGCCTCCATCTGGTTACAGCATCGTAACACTCCTGTGTGCCCTCACACATCAACCTTGATTCCATCATACACCTGAACTCCCTGTCCTGAGCTCCTCATACCCTCACATCCCCAGACTCGTTTTGTGCCTTTGCCTTTCTAATCATGTGTTTATGTCCACGCAATCTCAAAAGCTATGGCTTAAGTCCTGTTAAAGCCAAGTTTGCATTGCTGAATTGAGGAAATAGACAATATTTGTCATCATTATTAATAAAACTTGTTTCATTATGCATGAGCCTGAAAAGGAAACTCGCTAGTATATCCAACATTAGCAAACTAGGACAATACCAGAAATTATACGAAAGAGTCAGTTTTCTGAGGTTTCCAGACCAAATAGTCAGGCAAAAGAGTTTTGAAAAAGTGTCTGACCATATTAGCTGCTAATTGAACCATATCTCAGAACCCTTTGAGGTTTAGCCTTTTTAGTTCCACTATTTTTAACATAGAATATTGACGTAGTTATTCTCAAAATTGAAGGACATCTCTTTAATTTCTGTGTAAGCAAATATCCTAGCTTATTATTTGATGGAGAGTGTAGTGCACACTTTGAGACAACTGACACAATTTTGTATTTATAGAACGAGGAGCCAGTTTTCTCCAAAGATGGAAGTAAGATCTTTATGATAGTCCCAGTGAAACAAGGTGGTCGGGGAGAATTCCACCATATAGCCATGCTTATTGTTCCGGTAAGCTTTTTTCCCCTTCAATTCATATTTTTGGGGAGTGATTGTATAGTCCTCCAGGCATATTGGTATGGGATATTCCTTGAGATGTTTTACGCAAACAAAAGCTTGCCCTAAGCAGAACTTGAGAATGTCCATGTGTATATAATGGGGATGGGCCTTTCTCTGTCATGACCATAATTCTTCTGTAGGACATTTGCAGCATCATATAGTCTGGAATAAGTATGGCATCTCCATAGGCTGATGACAAAGATGCTCAGTAGATCAATCAGCACCAAGCACTCACACAGCACTTGGCAATCATTCTCTTTTCTTTTATGAGATTCTTTACACACAATTTCAATTGGATTCCAGTGGAGTGAGGCCCCCCAAACCCTTTGAGATTCAGAACCTAAGTTCTAGGGCTGAGAAGTCTTCCAGTTCCAAAACAAATCTGGGGGCTGTTATTTCAGGTACCTCAGTTGATCTCAATAAGACACCAGGAGACAAGTGATCATATCCCAGACATACTTCTTTATGATAATGTTCATGTTGATCTCAGCATGAAGCATGTTCACAATGCTGTGTGAAAAAAGAAGAGAGAAGTTACACCTTAATCTGCCTCTAAGATTTTAAAATGGGAAACATAAGTATATGTGTAAACCTCCATTTCCAGTAAACCAGTGATGTGCATGAAAATCATAGAATATCACACTAATATAACAATCGAGAAAGTTCTAGTTACGTGTCTTTCCCATTATATGATGCTGTGTAGCAA